TCTCTCTCTGGTCTCTCTCTGGTCTCTCTCTGGTCTCTCACCTCGTCGCTCTTGGGACAGTCAAAGTTCCAGCCACAGATCTGGTCGTTGCCTGTGAACATGTTCATGGACATCATGCAGATGGTGAGGGTCACGGTCCCCACGATGACCTCCCAGGGGTGAGAGGCCACGAGGAGACCATGGGCACGGAACAGCCGGGTCAGCATGGTCTAGGTCTGAAAGAGAGGAGAGGGTCAACTGGGTCTACAGCCTCAGTCCTGGGTCTACAGCCTGGGTCTACAGCCTCGGTCCTGGATCTACAGCCTCGGTCCTGGGTCTACAGCCTCGGTCCTGGGTCTACAGCCTCGGTCCTGGGTCTACAGCCTCGGTCCTGGGTCTACAGCCTCGGTCCTGGGTCTACAGCCTCGGTCCTGGGTCTACAGCCTCGGTCCTGGGTCTACAGCCTCGGTCCTGGGTCTACAGCCTCGGTCCTGGGTCTACAGCCTCAGTCCTGGGTCTACAGCCTCAGTCCTGGGTCTACAGCCTCAGTGCAGAGTAGATCTGGTATGCACTTCCTGTCTGACACTTCCACGTTCCCATTTGTCGAGTGAGAGACAAACGCCCATAACAATTGTAAAGTATTCTGTGACCGTGAAAAGAGCTTTAAAAAGAAACAGGACTTTACTTCCTAAAAATGTGAGACAGACACCTTCTCTGACAATGTTCAAATCCAGGTTAAAAATCTGATTATTTGCTATTATAAATTTTTTGTTTTTGAGTGATTGCAATAATCTTCTGTAATGTTGCCTTTGATGTTAAAAATAAAATGAATCCTTTGAAACTTTATCAAAACTACTGGTAACAAATGTTTAGTTATTGGCAGAACATTAAGAAGTTAATGTAACTTAAATTAACGGAGCAGGCGACAGATATGATCTTCTTCTCTCCTTTTGGATTTTGACTGAAGCCACTGTGGGTGACTGCACAAAACAGTAAAAAGATCAACACACAACTAAGACACACAACTAAACCACACAACTAAGACACACAACTAAGACACACAACTAAACCACACAACTAAGACACACAACTAAACCACACAACTAAGCCACACAACTAAGACACACAACTAAGACACACAACTAAACCACACAACTAAGCCACACAACTAAGACACACAACTAAGACACACAACTTAGACACACAACTAAGACACACAACTAAGCCACACAACTAAGACACACAACCAAGCCACACAACTAAGACACACAACTAAGACACACAACTAAGACACACAACTAAACCACACAACTAAGCCACACAACTAAGTCACACAACTAAGACACACAACTAAGACACACAACTAAGACACACAACTAAACCACACAACTAAGACACACAACTAAACCACACAACTAAGACACACAACTAAACCACACAACTAAGACACACAACTAAACCACACAACTAAGACACACAACTAAACCACACAACTAAGCCACACAACTAAGACACACAACTAAGACACACAACTAAGACACACAACTAAACCACACAACTAAGCCACACAACCAAGACACACAACTAAGACACACAACTAAGACACACAACTAAGCCACAAAACTAAGCCACACAACTAAGACACACAACTAAGACACACAACTAAGCCACACAACTAAGACACCTCTAAGACATGAGGACCAGTCCCAGTCTGACTCTAGACCTGAGGACCAGTCCCAGTCTGACTCTAGACCTGAGGACCAGTTCCCGTCTGACTCTAGACCTGAGGACCAGTCCCAGTCTGTCTCTAGACCTGAGGACCAGTCCCAGTCTGACTCTAGACCTGAGGACCAGTCCCAGTCTGACTCTAGACCTGAGGACCAGTCCCAGTCTGTCTCTAGACCTGTGGAGCAGTCCAAGTCCGTCTCTAGACCTGTGAACCAGTCCCAGTCTGACTCTAGACCTGAGGACCAGTCCCAGTCTGACTCTAGACCTGAGGACCAGTCCCCGTCTGACTCTGGACCTGAGGACCAGTCCCCGTCTGACTCTGGACCTGAGGACCAGTCCCAGTCTGACTCTAGACCTGAGAACCAGTCCCAGTCTGACTCTAGACTTGAGGGCCAGTCTTAGTCTGACCTGGACTCTAGACCTGAGGACCAGTCCCAGTCTGACTCTAGACCTGAGAACCAGTCCCAGTCTGACTCTAGACTTGAGGGCCAGTCTTAGTCTGACCTGGACTCTAGACCTGAGGACCAGTCCCAGTCTGACTCTAGACCTGAGGACCAGCCCCAGTCTGACTCTAGACCTGAGGACCAGTCCCAGTCTGACTCTAGACCTGAGAACCAGTCCCAGTCTGACTCTAGACTTGAGGGCCAGTCCCAGTCTGACTCTAGACCTGAGGACCAGTCCCAGTCTGACTCTAGACCTGAGGACCAGTCCCAGTCTGACTCTAGACCTGAGGACCAGTCCCAGTCTGACTCTAGACCTGAGGACCAGTCCCAGTCTGACTCTAGACCTGAGGACCAGTCCCCGTCTGACTCTAGACCTGAGGACCAGTCCCAGTCTGTCTCTAGACCTGAGGACCAGTCCCAGTCTGACTCTAGACCTGAGAACCAGTCCCAGTCTGACTCTAGACCTGAGGGCCAGTCCCAGTCTGACTCTAGACCTGAGGACCAGTCCCAGTCTGACTCTAGACCTGAGGACCAGTCCCAGTCTGACTCTAGACCTGAGGACCAGTCCCAGTCTGACTCTAGACCTGAGGACCAGTCCCAGTCTGACTCTAGACCTGAGGACCACTCCCAGTCTGACTCTAGACCTGAGGACCAGTCCCAGTCTGACTCTAGACCTGAGGACCAGTCCCAGTCTGACTCTAGACCTGAGGACCAGTCCCAGTCTGACTCTAGACCTGAGGACCAGTCCCAGTCTGACTCTAGACCTGAGGACCACTCCCAGTCTGACTCTAGACCTGAGGACCAGTCCCAGTCTGACTCTAGACCTGAGGACCAGTCCCAGTCTGACTCTAGACCTGAGGACCAGTCCCAGTCTGACTCTAGACCTGAGGACCAGTCCCAGTGTGACTTTCCCTCAGTGTGAAGACCCGCTCCTGGTGTCTTCAGTAGATTCTACATTCATGCTGTTTATTTACAAAGTGCCACAGAACCACAGTCTTTGATGAAGGACGAGACACAGCACTGTCTTAACAACATGGGTTCAAGTCTCACCTCTGATCTTCAGGACCATCTTCTCTGAAGTCTGGAACAAGTCCTTTGGACCGGTCACTTTTCAGAGACTGAGAGCTGGGAGCAGGTCCAGGTCTGGGTCCAGGTCTGGGTTTAGAACCGGGGCCAGATCCTCGTGGGTCCATGTTGTAGAGGCTGGAATCAGAACCAGAGTCACTTTGTTTCATGATATTGCTCTGTCCTGGACACAGTGCAGCAGGAGGAGACAGGAGGGTCCTGGTCTCACTCACATCTGGTCTCTCTCTGGTCTCTCTCTGGTCTCCCTCTCTGGTCTCTCTCTCTGGTCTCTCTCTAGTCTCCCTCTCTGGTCTCTCTCTGGTCTCTCTCTCTGGTCTCTCTCTGGTCTCTCTCTGGTCTTTGGTCTCTGTCTTGTCACTCACTGGTCTCTGACTCTGATCTCTCTGGTCTCACTCTGGTCCCTCTCTGGTCTCTCTAAGGTCCCTCTCTGGTCTGTCTCTGGTCTCTCTCTGGTCTCTCTCTCTGGTCTCTCTCTCTGGTCCCTCTTTGGTCTCTCTCTGGTCTCTCTCTGGTCTCTCTCTGGTCTCTCTCTGGTCTCTCTCTGGCCTCTCATAGTCTCTGGTCTCCTCCTGGTCTCTCTCTGGCCTCTCCGTAGTCCCTGGTCTCCTCCTGGTCTCTCTCTGGTCTCCTCCTGGTCTCTCTCTGGCCTCTCTAGTCCCTGGTCTCTTCCTGGTCTCTCTCTGGCCTCTATAGTCCCTGGTCTCCTCCTGTTCTCCCTCTGAACTCTTCCTAGTCTCTGATCCCCTCCTGGTCTCTCTCTGGTCTCTCTCTCTCTCTGGTCTCTCTCTGGTGTCTCTCTGGTCTCTCTCTCTCTCTGGTCTCTCTCTGGTCTCTCTGGTCTGTCTCTCTGGTCTCTCTCTGGTCTCTCTCTGGTCTCTCTCTGGTCTCTCTCTCTGGTCTCTCTCTAGTCTCCCTCTCTGGTCTCTCTCTGGTTTCTCTCTCTGGTCCCTCTCTGGTCTCTCTCTGGTCTCTCTCTCTGGTCTCTCTCTCTGGTCTCTCTCTCTGGTCTCTCTCTGGTCTCTCTCTCTGGTCTCTCTCTGGTCTCTCTCTGGTCTCTCTCTCTGGTCTCTCTCTGGTCTCTCTCTGGTCTCTCTCTCTGGTCTCTCTCTGGTCTCTCTCTGGTCCCTGGTGACACAGTTCTATGGTTGTGGTTTTAAAGTTACGTACCCCAGCTTTAAGGCCAGTGATTGTTTGTAAAGACTGTCTCAGTGCTGTAGCGTGGCTTGTACACCAGAGGGCGCCAGAGACCAGTTGAGTCTGCACTGATGGTGACTGAACAAAATGTGCCACAGAAACCAAAGTCACGGTCTCAAAATCACTGGACTTAAAAATACACAAAGATTATCAAAATACACAATAAACACACAACCAATACTCTCTCACACAACTGGGTTCACACAACTAAGACACACAACTAAGCCACACAACTAAGACACACAACTAAGAGACACAACTAAGACACACAACTAAGACACACAACTAAGACACACAACTAAGCCACACAACTAAGACACACAACTAAGACACACAACTAAGCCACACAACTAAGCCACACAACTAAGACACACAACTAAGACACATAACTAAGACACACAACTAAGCCACACAACTAAGACACACAACTAAGACACACAACTAAGACACACAACTAAGACACACAACTAAGCCACACAACTAAACCACACAACTAAGCCACACAACTAAGTCACACAACTAAGACACACAACTAAGACACACAACTAAGACACACAACTAAGCCACACAACTAAGACACACAACTAAACCACACAACTAAGCCACACAACTAAGCCACACAACTAAACCACACAACTAAGACACACAACTAAACCACACAACTAAGCCACACAACTAAGTCACACAACTAAGACACACAACTAAGACACACAACTAAACCACACAACTAAGCCACACAACTAAGTCACACAACTAAGACACACAACTAAGACACACAACTAAACCACACAACTAAGACACACAACTAAGACACACAACTAAACCACACAACTAAGACACACAACTAAACCACACAACTAAGCCACACAACTAAGACACACAACTAAGACACACAACTAAACCACACAACTAAGCCACACAACTAAGACGCACAACTAAGACAAACAACTAAGCCACACAACTAAGACACACAACTAAGACACACAACTTAGACACACAACTAATACACACAACTAAGCCACACAACTAAGACACACAACTAAGACACACAACTAAGACACACAACTAAACCACACAACTAAGCCACACAACTAAGACACACAACTAAGACACACAACTAAGACACACAACTAAACCACACAACTAAGCCACACAACTAAGACACACAACTAAGACACACAACTAAGACACAAAACTAAGACACACAACTAAACCACACAACTAAGACACACAACTAAACCACACAACTAAGCCACACAACTAAGACACACAACTAAGACACACAACTAAGACACACAACTAAACCACACAACTAAGCCACACAACCAAGACACACAACTAAGACACAAAACTAAGACACACAACTAAGCCACACAACTAAGACACACAACTAAGACACACAACTAAGACACACAACTAAGCCACAAAACTAAGACACAAAACTAAGCCACAAAACTAAGCCACACAACTAAGACACACAACTAAGCCACACAACTCAGACACCTCTAAGACATGAGGACCAGTCCCAGTCTGACTCTAGACCTGAGGACCAGTCCCAGTCTGACTCTAGACCTGAGGACCAGTCCCAGTCTGACTCTAGACCTGAGGACCAGTCCCAGTCTGACTCTAGACCTGAGGACCAGTCCCCGTCTGACTCTAGACCTGAGGACCAGTCCCAGTCTGTCTCTAGACCTGAGGACCAGTCCCAGTCTGACTCTAGACCTGAGAACCAGTCCCAGTCTGACTCTAGACTTGAGGGCCAGTCCCAGTCTGACTCTAGACCTGAGGACCAGTCCCAGTCTGACTCTAGACCTGAGGACCAGTCCCAGTCTGACTCTAGACCTGAGGACCAGTCCCAGTCTGACTCTAGACCTGAGGACCAGTCCCAGTCTGACTCTAGACCTGAGGACCAGTCCCAGTCTGACTCTAGACCTGAGGACCAGTCCCAGTCTGACTCTAGACCTGAGGACCAGTCCCAGTCTGACTCTCCCTCAGTGTGAAGACCCGCTCCTGCTGTCTTCAGTAGATTCTACATTCATGCTGTTTATTTACAAAGTGCCACAGAACCACAGTCTTTGATGAAGGACGAGACACAGCACTGTCTTAACAACATGGGTTCAAGTCTCACCTCTGATCTTCAGGACCATCTTCTCTGAAGTCTGGAACAAGTCCTTTGGACCGGTCACTTTTCAGAGACTGAGAGCTGGGAGCAGGTCCAGGTCTGGGTCCAGGTCTGGGTTTAGACCCGGGGCCAGATCCTTGTGGGTCCATGTTGTAGAGGCTGGAATCAGAACCAGAGTCACTTTGTTTCATGATATTGCTCTGTCCTGGACACAGTGCAGCAGGAGGAGACAGGAGGGTCCTGGTCTCACTCACATCTGGTCTCTCTCTGGTCTCAGTCTCTCTCTGGTCTCTCTCTGGTCTCTCTCTGGTCTCTCTCTGGTCTCTGGTCTCAGTCTCTCTCTGGTCCCTCTCTGGTCTCTTTCTGGTCTCTTTCTGGTCTCTCTCTGGTCTCTCTCTGGTCTCTCTCTGGTCTCTCTCTGGTCTCTCTCTGGTCTCTCTCTGGTCTCTCCCTGGTCCCTCCCTGGTCCCTCCCTGGTCTCTCTCTGGTCTCTCTCTGGTCTCTCTCTGGTCTCTCTCTGGTCTCTCTCTGGTCTCTCTCTGGTCTCTCTCTGGTCTCTCTCTGGTCTCTCTCTGGTCTCTCTCTGGTCTCTCTCTGGTCTCTCCCTGGTCTCTCTCTGGTCTCTCTTTCTGGTCTCTCTCTCTGGTCTCTCTCTGGTCTCTCTCTGGTCTCTCCCTGGTCTCTCTCTGGTCTCTCTCTGGTCTCTCTCTGGTCTCTCTCTGGTCTCTCTCTGGTCCCTCCCTGGTCTCTCTCTGGTCTCTCTCTGGTCTCTCTCTGGTCTCTCTCTGGTCTCTCTCTGGTCTCTCTCTGGTCTCTCTCTGGTCTCTCTCTGGTCTCTCTCTGGTCTCTCTCTGGTCTCTGTGGTTAGAATGTATGGTGAAAGTACAAGTACTGTAGAGCAGTACTCGAGTACATGCAGGAGTAAACAGACGACACAGACTTTTGAAATAAAAATAATGAGAGGATTTAAAGCTGTCGTACCTGGTGTGAGCCGACCACAAACACACAGAGACCAGGAGGAGCAGGAGACCAGGTGTTCACTCCGACAAACACACAGAGACCAGGAGGAGCAGGAGACCAGGTGTTCACTCCGACAAAACACACAGAGACCAGGAGGAGCAGGAGACCAGGTGTTCACTCCGACAAACACACAGAGACCAGGAGGAGCAGGAGACCAGGTGTTCACTCTGACAAACACACAGAGACCAGGAGGAGCAGGAGACCAGGTGTTCACTCCGACAAACACACAGAGACCAGGTGTTCACTCCGACAAACACACGTTAATGATCAAAGATAAAGGGCAGAGTTTAAAACCATGGAGAGGAAGAGCAGGATGAGCCGCTCTGGGCACATTCCAAACAACTCAGGTGACTTCAGCTGCGTTCTCTCTCTGGCCACTCCCTAATCTCTTTCTAGTCTCTCTCTGGTCTCTTTCTGGTCTCTCTCTGGTCTCTTTCTGGTCTCTCTCTGGTCCCTCTCTGGTCTCTCTCTGGTCTCTCTCTCTCTGGACCCTCTCTGGTCCCTCTCTGGTCTCTCTCTGGTCTCTCTCTCTGGTCTCTCTCTGGTCTCTCTCTGGTCTCTCTCTGGTCTCTCTCTCTGGTCTCTCTCTGGTCTCTCTCTGGTCTCCCTCTGGTCTCTCTCTCTCTGGTCTCTCTCTCTGGTCTCTCTCTGGTCTCTCTCTGGTCTCTCTCTCTCTGGTCTCTCTCTGGTCTCTCTCTGGTCTCTCTCTGGTCTCTCTCTGGTCTCTTCTCTGGTCTCTCTCTGGTCTCTCTCTCTGGTCTCCTATCTGGTCTCTCTCTCTAGTCTCTCTCTCTGGTCTCTCTCTGGTCTCTCTCTCTGGTCTCTCTCTGGTCTCTCTCTCTGGTCTCTCTCTCTGGTCTCTCTCTGGTCCCTCTCTGGTCTCTCTCTGGTCTCTCTCTCTGGTCTCTCTCTGGTCTCTTCTCTGGTCTCCCTCTGGTCTCTCTCTCTGGTCTCTCTCTGGTCTCTCTCTGGTCTCTCTCTCTGGTCTCTCTCTGGTCTCTCTCTCTGGTCTCTCTCTGGTCTCTCTCTGGTCTCCCTCTGGTCTCTCTCTCTGGTCTCTCTCTCTGGTCTCTCTCTGGTCTCTCTCTGGTCTCTCTCTCTGGTCTCTCTCTCTCTGGTCTCTCTCTGGTCTCTCTCTGGTCTCTCTCTGGTCTCTCTCTGGTCTCTCTCTGGTCTCTCTCTGGTCTCTTCTCTGGTCTCTCTCTGGTCTCTCTCTGGTCTCCTATCTGGTCTCTCTCTCTAGTCTCTCTCTCTGGTCTCTCTCTGGTCTCTCTCTGGTCTCTCTCTCTGGTCTCTCTCTGGTCTCTCTCTCTGGTCTCTCTCTCTGGTCTCTCTCTGGTCCCTCTCTGGTCTCTCTCTGGTCTCTCTCTCTGGTCTCTCTCTGGTCTCTCTCTCTGGTCTCCCTCTGGTCTCTCTCTCTGGTCTCTCTCTGGTCTCTCTCTGGTCTCTCTCTCTGGTCTCTCTCTGGTCTCTCTCTCTGGTCTCTCTCTGGTCTCTCTCTCTGGTCTCTCTCTCTGGTCTCTCTCTCTGGTCTCTCTCTCTGGTCTCTCTCTGGTCTCTCTCTGGTCCCTGGTGACACAGTTCTATGTGGTTTTAAAGTTACGTACCCCAGCTTTAAGGCCAGTGATTGTTTGTAAAGACCGTCTCAGTGCTGTAGCGTGGCTTGTACACCAGAGGGCGCCAGAGACCAGTTGAGTCTGCACTGATGGTGACTGAACAAAATGTGCCACAGAAACCAAAGTCACGGTCTCAAAATCACTGGACTTAAAACTACACAAAGATTATCAAAATACACAATAAACACACAACAAAGTGTCACAAACACACAAACAACCAATACTCTCTCACACAACTGGGTTCACACAACTAAGACACACAACTAAGCCACACAACTGAGCCACACAACTAAGACACAAAAGTGAGCCACACAACTAAGACACACAAGTGAGCCACACAACTAAGACACACAACTAAGACACACAACTAAGACACACAACTAAGACATACAACTAAGCCACACAACTAAGACACACAACTAAGACATACAACTAAGACACACAACTAAGACACACAACTAAGGCACACAACTAAGCCACACAACTAAGCCACAAAACTAAGACACACAACTAAGACACACAACTAAGCCACACAACTAAGACACACAACTAAGCCACAAAACTAAGACACACAACTAAGACACACAACTAAGACACACCACTAAGACACACAACTAAGACATACAACTAAGACACACAACTAAGACACACAACTAAGGCACACAACTAAGCCACACAACTAAGCCACAAAACTAAGACACACAACTAAGACACACAACTAAGCCACACAACTAAGACACACAACTAAGCCACAAAACTAAGACACACAACTAAGACACACAACTAAGACACACAACTAAGCCACACAACTAAGACACACAACTAAGCCACAAAACTAAGACACACAACTAAGACACACAACTAAGACATACAACTAAGACACACAACTAAGACATACAACTAAGACACACAACTAAGCCACACAACTAAGACACACAACTAAGCCACAAAACTAAGACACACAACTAAGACACACAACTAAGACACACAACTAAGCCACAAAACTAAGACACACAACTAAGACACACAACTAAGACACACAACTAAGCCACATCAGGGACGTGCGGTGAGGTTTGTGATTGTGGAGGCACGACTTTAACAGATTTACCATAATTATTCTAATAAAATATCATTAAATCGTTAATGCAAAAACGTCCACAAACATTATATACAGTAAAGATAAGAACCAGCATGTTATTAAAAATCCCACAACAGCTCTAGAGGCTGGCTCTCCGCTCCGCATCAAACCGAGTCTTTGCGAAGCACAGGTGCGAGAGACGGGAGGAGGGAGAGAGAGAGCGAGATACGCAAGGAGCGAGAGATGCAAGGGGAGAAAGAGAGAGACGCAAGGAACACAAACAAGACTTAAACAAGTTGCAGAACTTATGAGCAGTGTTAAATCCGTGTTTTTCGGGGAAGCACTTTTACGCAGCTCTAGTACATTTTCAATATAAAACACAGACTGACAGACTCCTCCCCCGCGGCCGGACTAACCTCGTCAGTCCAGCGGGGGTCTCTCTCAGTCTATTTTTATTATTTATTTATTTAATCTAGGGGCGACAGTAGCTCAGTTGGTAGAGCATTGGCCTTAAGGTCTGAAGGTCGTGGGTTCAATTCCCACCTCTACACCTTCTCCACCGACTCCCACTGATGACTGCTGTCGTTGTGTCCTTGGGCAAGACACTTAACCCCACTTTGCCCAAAGCCCCCACTGAAAGATCAAGGCTATGCTCACACTCAGAGAGCAGCCGTCCTCCTGTGGACTCACCACCTGCAGAGGGTCAGTGAGGGGCTGGTGCTATGAGACTTGGGTGGCATCTCTGACTGCCACCCCCCTGACCCAGAAATGGATTAAAGGGTAGAAAATAGATGGATGGATTTATTTAATCTTTAATTGGATTTGGATTATTTAATCTTTAATTCAGACACACAAACATATAAAACATAGACAAAAAAACACACAAACATTCAATATTTACAAAATTCTATAAAGACAGCTTCTCCAATGCCTCCAGAGGTCAGAGGTCAGAGGTGAGCCTCACACTGCTCTGTACAGTAAAAACATTCATTATTACATTTAAAGAGTGCTCAGAGCGTTTCATGAACTTATAAAAACAGTTTCTGATCACAGCAGTCAGAGCGGGGACATTATTAAAAACAAACAGCTGGCACGAGTCCAACGAGGGACTCTCAGTCAAATTCTAAGAGCATCACTGTATGCAGCCTGCAGCTTCTTGAACTTACTCTTACTGTATCTGCACCACAGGGGGCAGTATAGAGCAGTGTGCAGTAGGCTTTAAACAAAGTTATTTTCACATTAT